GTTGGATAAAACCAGACATCTGATGATCACCTTGGGCTCCCTGAAGCTGTGATGGACTTTGTTTATTATTTGTTCTATAGACCAAATGTTTTATCAATAAGATTGAGGATGAACTTAACCATTTTTAGCAGCCCTAAACATGGCCGCCTCACCTGCAGGTCAGACTGATGTGTGTCAGCTCTGTTGCACTGCTGGTCTGTCTGACGTGCTTCTGAACAACCCGTACGCTGTTCTATCAAAATGTTCATTTACAAAACTTAAAACTCCTCATAGCAGAAACACCTACTGTCTTCGTAGGGGCAGAACCGTGGTGAGCTGGTGTGGGGGAACTCAATCAGGTCAGAGGTCGCATCAATCGGGGGTTCAGACAGGACGTCGGCCGTGTAGTGGGCTTTCAGGTCAGTCAGATAGGTGGACAAATCACATGTTGTAAAAGAGGACCGAGTACAGTGAAGGTTCCTCTGTTTGTTCCCACCAGACCTGCAAGAGTTGGACAGATTACAGATTAGTGAAAGCCATACCTGATGAATGCCACCATGGGAAACACCATCCATCATCTCTGCACCGCTTAATCCTCACTAGGGGGGGCTGGAGTCTATCCCAGCTGACTCAGGGTGAAGGCAGGTTCACCTGGACAGGTAACCAGTCTATCACAGGGCTACACTTAGAGACAGACAACCAAGCACACTCACATTCACACCTACGGACAATTTACAATCACCAATTAACCTCAGCATGTTTCTGGTGGCGGCGGCTCTAGGATGTGAGTTAAAACACTGTGCAGTACATCTACCGGCTTATTGGTCACCTCGTTAAAGTGTTTAACAAACTGGAGTAGATGTGAACCGAGCTTCACTTTTGTGGCTTTTATACTGAGATACTCATCATTTTTTAGTGTGTTTCCATGATTCCCATAGACCCTCATTTTTAAAAGTTCATATGAAATCAGCCACTACAAATATGAAGACGCTCTTCTTCACAGCCTTGATATTGTAGCTTAGATTATAGCAGGAACTCACACCAACTCTGTCTTCACAAAAACACTTTAGAACAAGCAAGACTGTCAAAATACAACTTTGCTAAGAATGGAAGAGGCGCGACAACAATAATGTCATTTAAAAAAAAATGTTTGTTCGATATTTCAGCTTTAATGTTCCTGTTGTGCTTTCATTTTTCTCTGAGTGAAGCATTAAAGTCAACGTGTCTCGTACTGATTTCTCTGGCCTCGGCTCAACAGTCCATTAAAGGCGTCCACTTAGTCACTAATGGATTCCTATCCTTCCAGGCTGCCATTAGCTTTTCCTTTGGGTTGCTCAGTGAGTGTGTGGATACGCTGTGAAGCAGACGGACAGCATACTTACGCAGAGAACTCCACTGTGTAGGAGTAATCAGCTGACGGTTTGGGTTCCCAGGACAGAATAGTTTTGAAGTTGGTCGACTTCCAAGTGACATTCTGTGCTCGAGGATAGGAGCCTGTAGGATGAGAGAGGTTTTCTAAAATAAATAAACCACACTTCAAAACCGAATACGAGAAACTGAAGGTCAAATAATCAAAAATCAGTTAAAGTTCAAACAAGCTGACGTGTGTTGAAAAGATAACGCGATCTGTAGATGATTATTACAACAGAAAACGAGGGAAGAGGAGGCCGAGAGACGCTGACAGAACCGGTGAAGGAAAAACAAAGCTAATTAGAAAGGCAGAAGGAGGGCCGCAGAACTAAATGAACATTAATCACTGTAATGATTTCAGATTTACATGACTGTGGTCTTTACACTGAAGATGTTTTCTCCTCGTAGAAAAATAAATCTCTCGGTTTCACGTTGGACAAATCTGACATCAGAACGCCAAAGTTTACTCTTTTTTTTTTATTCGATAGTGCAGTCGAGAGAGAGAGAGAGAGACGGGAAAGTGGGGAGAAGAATGAGGGGAGGACTTGTGGAAAAGGGCCATGAGCGGGATTCAAACTCATGACCTCCACGTCGGGGACTACAGCCCTGTCCATGGGACACCAGCTCAACCAGGCGCCCTCAAGTTTACTCTTTTAAAAGTCATTTTGGTCGCACACCTGTCTGAGCACACCGCAGCCACTAAGCAGCATCGACCGCAGGCCGCAATGTGGTGCGTTCAGGGACCACTGCAGTGATGGGAGGTAGTGTGTCGAGGCTGTGTCTAGAAATCCGGGAAGTCCTTTATGAAGGAGGCTTCATACGTCACTGCTGATGTATGAAACCTCGCTGGTTTGGGAAGTGGTTCGAGTGTTGGCGAGATTTCTGAATATAAATAAACCCCATGAATGGCTGGAAAATTTACATGTCAGTGTTTGCGTTGGAGTTCTGCCAGTCTGGCTGTGACATAGAGGAACTACACAGAGCCTAGAAGCTGAAGGGTTTCCCCTGAATGGCAACACTGAGCTGGTTTTCACAATGAGCTGTGACACATAACGTACCTGTAAATAATGAAATGTGTTGCTGCTGTAGTGTTGACATGTGAAAGGGTTTCCTCCAAAGCCGGAGAAGATGTTTCCAAAAACAGAAACCGACTGCATCCAAGCGTCACAAAACAAATACAGTTTCTTAATAAAACTAATAAAGTCCCGATCAGCCCAGTATTTATCAGAACAATCGCTGTCCGTCCCGTCTTTTACAACCACTGCTTTAACATGACCGTCTCATGTCCTATTGGATGAATTTAAACATTGAGCAAGTTTTTTTTTTTACATGAGCAGGCCTCTGTTTGCCACATTAATCCAAAACAGATTAAATGAATGAATGAAGCACACAAAATCAAATTACGGTGTTTTTATTTCTATTCTTGGCCATCGCAGGTAGTTATTTATTTATGGATGCCATTTTTCTTTTTGCTGAAAGCTGAGACTTCCCACTGTGTGGAAGCGTAACGACAACAAAAAGGATTCTGACTCAGTTGAAATGACAGAACATGTTCTGATCCGCAGAGGGGTTTGTGTGCCTCGAGAAATAAACCCTTTTTTTTTTTTTAACAGAAAGCTTCCAGACTTCATGAGGCTTCGTCTGTCCGTCACTCGGATCAATGGTGTCAATCGATAAGAAGATGTTGAGCCGGTGATGTGTTCTGGCTGCGACCAGGTGGGTGCTACCAGTGGAACCATTAGTCTGGAGCCTGATGAAGGCCCTGCAGTCAGTCTGAAACCTGAGCTCTAAGCTGTGTAGCGGCTCTTCTATAAACAGTGATGCCACTTTGTTGAGATCTGCTTCGTTTTCTGCTCCTTCTGAAGTTTTACGGGAGAGTACTGACCTTCAGTGGAGCTGTTTTGATCCCCAGTGAGCTCAACCTCCAACACGACCTGCTAAGAGGTGAACCACTGACGGAAAACCCAGGATTTACCCTGAAGTTACCTCGCTAACCCCAAATCCTGCTTCGTGGTTCAGACCCTGGGTGTAACTCAACCGCATGAGGAGGTTTCTCGGTTCTGTAAAACCTCAGTTACAAAACCCTTATACACAATTACAGTGTTTTATTGAAGAACAGCTTCGTACACTGTGTTCACCCTTCATTAGGCCGACACGATGACACAAGGTGCAGATAAAAGAAAATCCTTATTCACAGGTTTCTGTGGACTGACTGTTCTGTACCAACCACAGACGCTGGCACTTTCTTTATTCTGTCACATCAGTGAGCGCAGCAGCCACAAACATGGCAGGATAACATCAGTCTGACTTTGTTGTCCCTGCACACAGCATTTAAAGCTGAACTAATACCCTGCTTTTGTCACAGCAGCTGATCAGGAGAAGTGAAAATAAAAAGGAAGAAACAGAAACAGGACTTTGCTTGTTGCAAAAGAAGTGACAAAAACCCAAAGTTAAAACAGGCTAGAGTCAGAAGCCTGGACGTAAATGCACCACAGGTGATCTTTACACACAGGTTATATGATCAATTCTTTAACAGATTGTATTTTTGTCCAAACTACAAGCCATCCGTGTTTTAAACAGACACTGCACAGCCATCCAGAGGCCGTTCATTACCAAAAATAGATTTTAAAAAATAAGAGAACATCAGCAAAGAACAATGTGTTAAACTAACTTATTAAAGGAAAGTGTAAAACATCCCAGAAGTAAACCGTATTTGCTGTCAGAGACGTTTTTCTCTTTCTGATTCTATTTCAAACAGTAACGCTGTTTATATGGTGATGTTTATTCATGTTTCATATCAAGCTTATTCCTCATATTTTACCTGCTGCTCTGTTCTGTGTCACCAGCCCAGACGAGTCAGCATGTTCCATTCATCACATCCTGCTGCTGTCTCTAAGCAGCATATACATACACTATAAATTCATTTATTTCTAAGCTTGCATGGACACTTATTGGACTCACCGGAGGCGCCGTGTGTGGACAGAAAGAAGACCAAAGTCAGAGCTACCGGTAGCGTCCCCGTCATCCCGCCGGGTTCGGTTCCTCTCAGATAATACAGTCCAGATGCAGAGCGGGTTTAAATCCAGCCGTGTGTCTGCTCACGGCTACGTTGCGCTCTTTTGGTCTCTCCTCAGGATGACGAACGCGGCTTTTACTGGCCTCAGTGGGCGAAGCTCGACCAAATAAGGAGCGTCCGGCTGTGACGTCGCCAGACCAGCGCGCCGCGTGCTCCGCTGCTGAGGTCATACAGTAGACCGCGCGCCATTCTGCTGCAAACTGTACCCCCAAATACCCCGACGGGCAGCCGCACACTATTATGGGATTAACCCTTAGGCGGCAATTCAGTGGTGGTGCCCCCCTCCTTCCAAAAAACAAACAATAACAACAACAACAAAATAATTATTTGCCATAAAATAATTGCTGAGTGGAAATTTTTATTTTCTTCTCTGGGATGTGTCAATAATTAGTCAGTGATTTTGGTGCATTATTGGGTTTTTCACGGTGTCAGAAAAAAAAAAACCCACTGAAAGATAAAAAATGTCTTAATTGTGTTGTATATTTATATTATTTCTCACTTTTATCGAATAATTTATTTTAAGCAACATCGTTCCTGATCATAAATACCAAATATTCATTAATTTCCGGGATTCTAACCTTTTAAACATCAGCTTGCACTCACACATACAGAACAATTATTTCTATATCATCAGTGCTAAGTGGAAAATTCTTTATTTGGTTATTGCAGTCTGGGAGGTTTTCATGCTCAGCAACAGCAACGCTTTTAATGTTATTTTCTCTGCTTTGTCAGATTTTTTAAATAAAAACTCCCGCTGAGGATCTAAGAGAGAGAAAAACAAAAAACCAAACCCGTGTCTAAAACGCAGCCTTAAAAACATTATATATCATCATGTTTGAGCGTCAGTCTTGGTCATAGCTACCAAATATTTATTCATTTTCAGAATTTGAACCCTTTAATTTGTTTAAATAATGTCACTACTGTTTTTCATGAAAAAACATTTTAAAATTAAATATTTTCCATATACTAAATACTAAGAGGACAAAATCAAAATCCAGTTTATTGTCATTCTGCTGTACATACAACAGCTGTACAAACAAGATGAGAGAGTTTTTCTTCAGGATCCAGTAACTAAAAGCAATTAAATAAAGAAGTGTTTGTATATCTGGATCAGCACTTCAGCTTTCTGACAGCTTGTGGCATGAAGCTGTTGATCATTCTGGAGGTTCTTCCTCCAGACTTTAAAAGACAAAATTGATTTTCACCACAGTGTTATTTTCAAGGCGCTGCAAGATGGACCAGAGTTCTGTCACTTGAGGGATTTTATGTGTGGGTGTGCATAGAAACACACTGTTAGAGGTGTGTGTGGCCACATGCATGTAGTCAGGAGATAATTTTGAGAATTTTTGAAAAAGAACATTTTTGTTGACAGTTGTTCTCGTCTTGGGCTGCAGGTGGAGCAGTGGTTAGCACCGTCGCCTCGCCACTAGAAGGTCGCATCCCGGTGAGGACATCCGGACATGGAGTTTGCATGCGTGGGTTCTCTCCAGGTTCTTCAGCTCCTCCCACAGTCCAGAAACATGCTGAGATTAATTGGTGATTGTAAATTGTCCGTAGGTGTGAATGTGAGTGTGCTTGGTTGTCTGTCTCTAAGTGTAGCCCTGTGATAGACTGGTTACCTGTCCAGGTGAACCTGTCTTCACCCTGAGTCAGCTGGGATAGACTCCAGCCCCCCCTGGTGAGGATTAAGGTGTAGAGATGATGGATGTTCTCGTCTTATATGGAAATACGGCAACATACACCTGCATGAAGATGTAAAAGTCCAAAACAGCTACAATGATCTAGAAAATCAAACATGAAAAGAACAGAAATGTCCTCATGGGTGCACAAAGTAGCTGAAGTAGTGGTTTAAAGAATGACTGAGGTTCATTGCTTTGCTGCGCTCATGACCACATTTCATGACCGATCAGTGGAGAGAAATACTCGCTGGCCCTCAGTAGCCTGGTTGTCTACTGACTGCTGTGACAGCATCATTATGGATCCGAGAGTCACTGCATGAGTCAGGAATTATCTCACCAGATAGCTCCAGTGGCTTAGCTGAGCTCTATTTATAGGCTCACTTGTTTAGATGTGTGCTACAATTCCAGACACACAGAAATACCAGAGACAAATAGTTCATAGCCTCCTGCGTTATGCAGATGGAGAGGTTTCACTGTGTTAACAATAGGTAACACAAAGTGGTCCAAAACTCTGGTTCAGTCTGCTTTATGGTGGTTTCTTCATTTCTGGAGTCTACAAAGCCTCCCCTCATCTCGGACGTTCAGATCATCTTTCCCTGTTCCTGACACCGGCTGACTCATCTGCAGGTCTAAGCCGCAGTACAAGCCAGTGCGATGCTGGACTGAGGAAGCCATGCTATGGTCCCGCTTTGAAGACGACAGCAGGCAGGCAGAGGACACCCAGAGGGGAATGCGTTATCTGGCACCTTGCCAGTCCTGGTCTCGTTGTCATAGTTATCCGTCCCCTTCCCTCCCAGCCAATGAACACTGGGCTTCAACAGGGTCCTGTGTGGATCTGAATACCAAGTAGCTCTCCAACGGAAAGGAATGCACTGGTAAGAGTTTGCCAGTGAAATGACACACACACACACACACACACACACACACACACACAGACTGGTCAGAGTGCAGTGGATCCTGGCTACACTCCAGACATTTTATTTACTTCTCTCAGAACATTCTGTGACATTTCTTTTCACCTTGAGCTGTTTCCGAGCACAGTTGCAGCTCCAGTGGTCTGTAGGCATGAAGCTGTATTTGCTTACGAGAATCTCGGTGGCCTGTTGAAGTAAGTAGAAAAACACAAGGGAAGGAAATCACTGGGCCTCTCTGGCTATTGTACCAGACTACGCTACAGTCAGGCTGAATTAGTCCTGCATGCTGGATTTTTGCTTTAATCACTTTGCCAGGCCGGTTCCTGGAAGAAAGAGGCACCAATACAGTATTTCCAAGCAGGGGCTAAACACTTACAGCTTCAGACAGTGGACCAGGTTCTATACTGGTTCTATACTGGTTCTAATGGATCTCAGTGCTGCATCTGATCCAGTGGATCACAGCATCTCATTACAGAGACTGGAATGTTTAATTGGGCTTAAAGGAACCGCACTAAACTGGTTTAAATCATGTTTATCAGACAGATTCCAGTTTGTTCATGTTGATGATGATTCTTTCACCCGCAGTAGAGTTAGTTATGGAGTTCCACAGGGCTCTGTGTTAGGACATATTTACCTTGTATATGCTCCCCATAGACAATATTATTAGGAAGCACTGCATAAAGTTCCATTGTTATGTAGACGACACTCAGTTATATTTAACTATGAAGCCAAATGAAACCAATCGGTTGGTCTCACACACTTAAAATGGAAAGCACAAAAACCAGTTGTGTTAGTTGTTATATATCGGCCACCGGCCCCCAACTCTGAGTTTCTGTCTGAATTCTCAGAGTTCTGAGCTGATTTAGTGCTCAGTACAGATAAAGTTGTTATAGTGGGTGACTTTAAAATCCACGTCGATGATGAAAACGACAGCCTTAGCTCTGCATTTAGTTCACTGTTAGACTCAGTTGGCTTCTCTCAGAATGTCAATAAACCAACTCATAGTTTTAACCTTGATCTTGTTTTGACACGACATAGAAACTGAACAGCTTCTGTTTTTTAACAACACTGCATCCTGTCTGATCATTATTTTAATAATGTTTGAATTTACAATAATGGACTAAGAGTTCCATTACAGCAGATGTTTATCTGATAATGCAGTAACTAAATTAAAGAAATTATTCCATTTTTATTTGCTTCAATGCCATATGCCAACACTACGGGGAGCAGCTCCTCTAATCTTAGTCTCAACACAGGTGGATAATCTTGTTGATAGGACGGCAGCTTTAGAGACAGAGGCTTTATGGTCGTTGTGCAAAATACAACAAACTTGTGTGATAGCTCAGTAATCAGCAGCAGTGCAACATGGAATATGCTTAAAAACTAAAATAAACTAAAATGAATTTTAAAAGCATTATAAAAGAACTTGGCCATATACATGTGTACAGGAACCATATAAAACAGTGCAAACAGTGGAGTGTCAAGTCAACAGGTGGCATGTTGAACATGAACAGGGTGTGAACCTTCAGAACAGTCGTATTGCACAGATAAGTGGGGGAGGGGCTGAGGCGGATGTTCAGCTGGACTGTCCTATTGAGCTATAGGGAACGTCTGGGGGGTGGGGAAAGTGGTGGGAGGAGTGATGGAGGCAGCGTCTCTGGGAAAGAAGCTGTTCCACAGTCTGCTGGTTTGTGCTTTTAAGGTCCTGAATCCTTTCCCTGATGGAAGGGGGGCACACAGTCTGCGTCCTGGATGCGTGGGGTCTCTGATGATGGTGCTGGCTTTTTCCTTAGCTGGCTAACATAGACCACATCCAGGCTGGGAAGCTGTGCTCCCCCAGTCCACTGTGCAGTCTTTAACAAGGCGGGCCAAGCCTGTTCTGTTCTCAGCGGGGCAGCTGGAGAACCAGACCGTGCTGCAGCAGTACAGAAAGCTCTCAATCGTACTCATAAGTTCACAAGAAGCTGCTCGGGGAGCTTGTCAGCCTCCACAGAAAGAGCAGTCTGTGCTGTGCAGATGGTCGGTGTTGATGGTCCATGTGAGATCACTGGTGACGTGGAGACCCAGGAACTTGATGTTGCTGACCCTCTCTACCTCTTCTTCACGTATGAGGAGCCACCCTGGCTAACACTGGTGGTGGAAGAGGCCCCTCAGCTGCTGGGCTAGTAGCCGTTGGTGCTGAGAGCCCACTGAGAGCCCTGTGATAGACTGGTTACCTGTCCAGGTGAACCTGCCTTCACCCTGAGTCAGCTGGGATAGACTCCAGCCCCCCACCACCCAGGTGAGGATTAAGGTGTAGAGATGATGGATGGACGTTCATATTCTTTTGCCATATTAACAATATTTTTATTATTAACAGATGTAATATTTGTCTTCACTGTGTGTTTACTGATTCTACACTTCCTGGATCCGGGGCACCGGACACATGAGCGTGCATGTAGCCCGAAAAACTTT